AAATATGAACAGAAAACGTCCTCGTGGATTGCTCCTTTTCTTCGTACAATCATGGTCACTGCAGCTACGCCCATCCGTAGACAACACAACGAACTGGACGCTCGATTGGCAAGAGCCACATTCGTTCTGTGCGTTTGAACTGAACTGAACTGAACTGTCCTGTCCTGACCTTGAAGGCGCTGGGTACAAACCCATCGCCACAATAATACCGTGTTTCGATCATCCATGGTTCTCCGTTATTCGTTTGAGCTCTGAAACTTTGTTACGATGTCTGCAACGATTAGAGCTTCGGCAGTTACGGATTTAAACAGTTTTGACTCTTTGGTGGATAAATGTGGTGCCTTCATATCATCAACTGTGGAGATACCCTCTTCGAAATCCGGTGGTATCTTAGGTATTCTTAGTGACTCTGAAGGTGTAAAGCTGTTCAATAACTTCCTTTGCATGCGAAGTTCTGGCCATCTTCTCGACTTTTGGTTCGCTTGCAAAGGATTTCGTACTAATGTGGATCCGAATAATCCTGACAAACTGTTTCAAGTGGCTAAAGTTATCTACCGGACTTATGTGAAGTCTGGTGCTGACCATGCAGTCCCACTACCCAATTCTCTAAAGCATGAAATAGTGGAGAGAATGTCCTCTTACCACAAAGGGTATAAAACGTCTAACAATTCCCAGTCAAACGTCGTGGGAATTGATCGTACATTATTTGACTCTGCTCAGGAAAATGTCGGATCTCTTTTGGAACAAACATTTTACCCGGAATTTCTGGACTATTTAAAGAACGGTTTTATGTATGGAAATCCCAGCGTAAATCGTCTTTTGTCAACAATTTTTGACACAGGAACTGGAGATACTTCTTCTCCACTCTTGTTCCGTGCAGGCAGCCCGTTGTCAAAGGAAAAATCGAAAAGAAAAGCATTCCGTCATTCTCAAGAAGAACCGGTTGATGAGTAAGTTTCCAAAGAACGCTGCAGCTGTCGATCCATATTTGTTCTTTATTTATTAGAATATCGTGGTCGAAAACTTATTTTTTCGACCCGTATTTTCTATCTTTTTTGCTTGAATTAAGTTCAGAACCCCGGATATTGGCTTTATATTTATGTATGTTAATTAATTCTGTCTTATATACTTAACTCTCTCTCTTTGCCCCTCCTTTAAACCCCGTAAAATTCCCCTAGACGACCTTTTGTAAGTAGTCTGCTACCCAACGAAAAACGGCCTGTGAAAAGTTATCAACCTATGAATAAGAGGTCTTCAAATTTTAGGACTCATGCAGGTGGATAATTAGTCTTGTTTGCTGCGGTTTGACTGTTTCTCGTCTCTCAACCTGAGGTCCCAAAGCCTCCGTAGCTGATTGATTGGAAACACTGAAGGACAGGTCTACCCCTATCCACCTTACTCGTTCGCACTTACTTTGTATGGGTTGTAAGTTTGGCAGAAGAGAGAAGCTCGTTTCTTTAGAGTTCGGTGCACAACTTTGATAATTCGTGTTTCTTGTCGTGAGATAAGCACAAACATTTTATTA